GCCTGCGGCGTGACCTTGGCCGCTAGCTCCTGCGCAGACGAATGTTCCGGCCAAAGCTCCGTGGCCTGCTGGGCCGTAGGCGCAAGCTCGCCAGTTGGACCTTCAACAGCGGGTAGCACCTTAGCCTGGCGACGTCGTTTGCCAGCAGCGCCAAGTCTGCGCGGCGCAGCAAACGCATCGCCGAACTCCTTAGCCGACCATAAGTCAATGATCGAGTCAGCCAAGTCAGTGAGGGACCTATCGACATCTCGACGCGAATGCTCATGTGCAGCACGATTGAGGAGCTGTAGTAGTATAAATTGGAAAGCCTGGATATGATGCGATAGTAGTCGACACAATAAACAGCCAGGCCCGATCAGCACCGAGAACCCACTTGATGAACTGTAAACCCCGGGATATCGCCGATGAACCTGAACCAATTAACCCTATTGCGAGCATTACGGAACCTCTCATTATCGCACATAAAGTTGTCGGCCAACACAGACTGGACATTTTCATTGGCCAAACTTCCAATTCTGCCACCATGCGCCAGGAGGCCATGGCGTGCCTCTGGAACCCAGTCAGCAACAAAAATGTCCTCGCCTTTCGTAGCTATCACATGCCGCGCGCTCAAAATAACTGCCTGCCAGAGCTTGATAACCGACTGCTTGACCTGCCTAATACCTTTTCGATGCGAGCGAATCGATGCCAGATAACCGAGCGTGACCTCCGACAATCCTGCTTTATTGTGCTGTTGATCGTGGTTGGCGAAGTATGCCTCCATTTCCTGCCGTGCGTGCAGAGTGACAGGCATGCAGTGCTCGGTAGGCGGTACTGTCCACGCGGGCGCAGGACATTCCTGCATGTGCAAACTGAAAGCCTGAATGCTCTCTGCTTCTTGAAGCTTGCGCCTGTCCAGCTGCGGCTTCGTAGATAACATGCTGTGGCTAGCGCGCACCGACGGCGCAGGTGCGCTGACATTTAGCTGGTCATGGTAATGGTCAGGCTGGGAGACAGTGAGCTCGACGTCCTTGTTGACCCTTGGCACCGAGGAATACGGCAAACGCTTCTTAGGGACCCCAATGTAATAAATACGTGGTTTAGGGAAAAAACTACCAAGCGGGATCCAGGTTTTGTGGTCGAAAGAGGGATTCAGAAAAGTGCAAGGCAAACACATGTCCAATTCCCTGAGCATTTGATTCAGACATGTCCCGCAGAAGGACTCCAGCTCGGCACCAACACTTCCAATGGACTCTGACACAGTCGAGCCCGCCGTCGCGTTGCATCCATGAGTAGAAACAACTAGTCGGCCTGGCCAGCCGCTCTTCTCAGCGTAGAGGTCGTATCTTTCCACCATGCGAGTCTATCACTATTGTTTTGGCCCTGAGTGTGGTGCGTGTGCGGCACGAGACGTAACACTTAGTGAAGCCAGCGCCAGGTTAACGACCGACAGGGTAGGGGTAGCAGCAGCCGCGTTAAGCTTGTCCCTGGATATTATAGTGTCTTTTCTGCCCAGGATGAAATCCTTATGTAGACGAAACCATCAAGAACAACCGTGATTCCCACTCTCATGTCTTGGGCCATGTAATACCAGAGAAGATCCGACATGATACCAACCAGGATTAGGCATGCGAGTCTCCGCAGTACCAATCACCATACAGTCGTAATGTCGAAGCTGCTCAGCTAGAAGCCTAGGACGACCAGCCGTATAGGCACCAACGTATCTAGGACCATGCGTTTGCTTATTGCTGCTCATCTTCTTGCCAAGGCACTTGAGCTTCTTAGGTTGCAGTAGTGTGAGCACATTAGCACATGCTAGTCTAAGGTCTAGCCGTGAGGACGGATCTGGCACCTGAGAACTTTCCAGCGTAAAAAGGTCTGGCACATGTCCAACGCATCTTCGCATTGATGGGTAGTCGTGTGGGGAGCTTGGGTCAACGATGATCGTGCCACCTTCCCCTATGCTCGGGTATTGTAGTCTTCCATTGCTGGGCAAAAGCGGCAGCCATGCCCGCAAAGTCGGCAGCGGATCTCGTAAAAAAGGAAACCGCGGACACGCAACGGCATTCTCTAGTATGCCCATGCCCGCAAGTGCTGCACGTGTGTCTACGTACTCGTTAACAAGATGCTGTGCGTGTGCATGAACATGTTTGAAAACTGCAGTGTGCTTGTACATGAACAATTGAAATACAGAACGCAGGCATGATGACAGACCTGCCAACGGTGGTATATCCCACACACCTTGCGCTGCGTTCATGGCAACAACGTTATCAAGGTAGCAATGGCACTGGACATCTGCAAAAGGAGACTGGGGCGCCCAGGACACCGCCCACAATAAAGCCAGGGTCTCTGACACCAAGCTCAGCTGCGTGGGCGAAGCATAAAAGTCGTCACGAAGAAATGAGCCTGCATGATCGACGACATGACAATAATTGCCGCTTTCAGAAACAATGAGGACACAAAAGGCCCAAGAAGGTTTCGCATCTGAGGGGGCCGAGGCCCCACTTCCATCAGTAAAGATTTCAATGCGTCGTATATCCGACACATCCCCGTCCCAATTTGACAAGGACTGAAAGAACTGCGACGTGCAATCCAGAAGAAACTTTTCATTTGTGCCAATCAGTATTGAGCACCTCCCCCCATGACGGAGCAGCGAAAAACCACGTCTGGTTTATCTACATAAGTGGACTTGATCCCTTGAAACTTCTCATGCGAATCATGATCGGAAGGGGTCGTGGCCGACCATGCCCCTGTCTGATACTACCCTGGCGGCTCGTAGCCCTCCTGCAGGACGGCGTCGTCTATGTCGTCGACGCCCGCAGGAGAAGCCGCCGCCGCCTCTACCGTAGCCTCCACAGCCTCCGCAGAACCACCGTGGGCTGGTCCTCTTCGGCCTGGCGAAGGACTTCGCGTAGGACGGCGCCGAGGTTGATGACCTGGATCGTTCCTGTGAGCTCCACCTCGCTTGGGCGTCGCAGCAGGATGTTGTCGTGCAGCTCGAGGTTGCGTAGCTGGTAGCGCAAGGGGTGCAGCGGAGTCTTCCGTCGCCCTCGCTCTCTCCGCAGCCTCCACATGCGACGCACCTCCACGTAGGACCGACCTCAGCGCATCGTGCTTGTTGTTGACGGTGATGACTTGCGCACCAATGGCATTGACAGTTGCGTCTATGTGAGACTGGTAGGCCGTGAGTGTAGTCGCAATCTGTGTCAACTGTCTTTGCATGATGGCCATATCTGACAACTGCTGCTGTTGCTGCTGCTGCTGCGGAGCCATCTGCTGCGGCCCCACAGGCAAGGGCGCACTGAGAGTCGCTGGCGCCGCCTCTCCTGGTGGAGTAGCCGTGCCAGTCATCTCTGCGTCCATGTCCGCTGCTGTCGAACGTAGCTCGTTCATGGCCTCGTGGTGCCTTTGAACCCATTCGACCGCAAGATCTCTTTCGTCCTGCAGCTCGCTGAGATATCGCTTTGCTTTTTTGATCTTGTTGTCTATGTCCTGAAGCCTCACCTCCGATCTTTGAAGAGCAGATTCCTGCCCGGACAACTGGACTTTGTGAGGTCGACATCGGTGAATGGCCGTCACTACAACAGAGTACCATGACCGCTCTTCGTATGCCATCTCTCCTGACCTTTCTTTGAGCCTGATAGTGCCCGCAAGAACTCTCAACTGCTGCCTGCACTCTGTGATGCATGTACTGCGATCTCTGGCCGACGCTGCTGGATCCAACTCGCCTGGGAAATGTTGATGAAGTCGAGCCTCCGACGGAAGAGCAGGGATGATACTCAAAGGCCTCTGACTCTCGTCCCTGGATCCCTCCTCCTCCTCGTCTGCGAATGTCACTGACGGAGACCTCGTACGTTGCTGTCGTTTCGTAGGCGCCTGTCAGTCCTCCGTGTCGGTCTGAGTGGCAGGGCTCTGGCCTGAACCTTTTCCAGGACGAGTTTTATCTCTTCCACGGGGGCCATTGGACTGAGTACGTGTCTGATTGTTCTTTACCCACGGCTGTCTTTCGAAGGTGTCTGCAATCTGGGCCGATCCGTACTCCGTCCTCGCAGTGCCACAACTTCTGCAGGTTTGCCTCTCCAAGAAGCTGGACGTGGCACACGAAGCACGAAACCACGACTTGGAGGACATATATAACGATACCGATTGAGTAGCCGTCTTGCCTCGATGGCAGTGTACTCAGACAATCTCGCTGTGACACGGGCCTGAGCTCGTGCCTGCCGCTGTCGGCGATGCCGCGCGGGGTTCAGCTTCTTCCGCCGATGTCCAGAAGTCCTGGGCGGGCGCGGTCCTCCCCTCTCCGCGGCCGACGCGCCGGCTCCGAACACTGGTGCAGTCTATGGAGTGGAGATGCTGTCCTCGAAGGGCAAACGCCCCGCCTCGTCGCCACGTGAGTCGCGGACCCACACGGGAATTTGGATGGGGGGGCGCCGCGTTCGGGCCTAGGAGGAGGAGGCGGAGGAGGAGGAGGAGGAGGAGGAGGATGATGAGCAGGAGGAGGAGGAGGAGGAGGAGGAGGAGGAGGAGGAGGAGGAGGAGGAGGAGGAGGAGGAGGAGGAGGAGGAGGAGGGAGGAGGAGGGAGGAGGGAGGAGGGAGGAGGAGGATCTGTTACCCAGACCCCCGACGTCATGTTTTTTTCATGACGTCGATCCCCAGAGGTCTCGAGCCCTTCTCCGGCACTAGCTTCTCATTCCGAGCCGATTTTTTACGGTAAAATAGTGACAAACCTCAGCCATGCGCAGAGGGGGGGTAGGGGAGGGGGAATGCTTTTTAGAAGCACCCCTGCTTTTTAAAAGGCCTGGGCCTGATCTGTAGATGTATTGCCGACGCCTTCTGAGAAGCGGCCTCCTTCTAAGAAGCCTCCCCGCCTCTCCCTACCTTCTTGTGCGCGCCGCCAGAAACCTCCCGCCGTGTTTTTTCGGTTCATGGCCCGAGGAGGCCCGGGTAGCCAGGGCCGGCGCAGCAGGAGCGGCAGCAGGAGGATCGCGCGCGCGTCCGCCGCGCCCCTCCTCGGGCGCAG